TGCAGTATTGCAGGCTAACTCTGCTCACAGCCAGGAGTTCAATCCTGACCAGCTGAAGGTTGACTCAGCCTTCCATCCTTCCGAGGTTGGTAAAATGAGGACCCAGATTGTTGGGGGCAATAGGGTGACTCTCTAAACCCCTTAGAGAGGGCTACAAAGCACTGAAGCGGTATATAAGTCTAAGTGCTATTGCTATATAAATATATGGCTAAACAAATAAATGGAGGATACTTGAGAAGGGTAGTTAAGCCCCATACTAAAAATCAGGCAGCAACAAAGACCATAAGAATGATTTCAGTCTACTGATTTTTCCTGGATGTGGTTTTAGCATAAGGGTCCCTGGGTTGAAATCCGAACATGATATGAAGACGAGGCTATCCCAGAAATGCAAATTAGAGCTCTGGTGTGGAGACAGTGTGCATTACACTGTAACAATTAACACCCAGGTGTTTTAGGAAAAAGCAAATATTTAGAACTGGAAAGCAGCAGGGGGAGTAGAAGATTACCCACAGTTTCTTTTTAAGTGGCGCTTCCCTCCCATTGCTGCACGGAATTACAAAAAATAACATTTTTCAAAGTAAACAATTCATTTCAACCTTGTCCTTCAATCAGTCAGAAAGATTTGTATTTCTACAAATGACTTACCAAACAAAGTGCAGAACATCCCTCCAAGGATGGGATCAGGGAGGGAGGCAAAGAGAGCAGTAAATTTGCCGATGGTTCCTAAAATAAGCATGATCCCTGCACCATACTGTACCACTTTCCTGCTGCCCACCTGTGGAGGAAAAGCAATAGCACAAATAAACAACATATATTCATTATCAGTTATTACGGTTTGTCTCACAGTCAGCTAGATGTACAGGTTGGATTTGGCATTTTTGTCTGCCCATCGATTCCTTCCCAAGGACCCGGGATAGGCAGACGTGGATGTTTGATGGAGTTACAGATATCATTGGAGGATGTAAGCTGTTCCAAGTAAAACTCCCAACTAAATAAATTATTATGGTTTGTGGCACAACAGCCAGATGTTCAGTATTATAATTATCTGTTCACAATAATATCAAATCACAGCTGCCAGTTTTTTTTAGCTGGTTTTGGCCTTCATATGCACTGTTGTTATTATTATTAATCTGTATATGCTTCATCTTCTGCTACATTTTCTGCTGTCTCTACTCAACGTATGAGTCATGCTTGCAGGGACACACTGAGCCCGAAAGGACCTTTTGCATTTAATACCATCTGGCACATACAAGCTTTAATTTTTTTTCAATAGGATTTCCAGAGTGATTTCTGAGCAAAATAAGAGCAGCAAACCCATTTATTTAGAACAACAATTGTCCCAGCTGCTGTCTCTGGTCAGTCTGGCTGCAAGCCAAGCAGAATGGTGACACATCTCAGAGGAAATTTCCCATTCAAATTACAGGCGGTGCACTTGGAGTGAGGCAGTTCAAACCTGCTTAGTTGGTGAGAAAGGATGCTCCTTCCAGAGGCATTACTGATCCCCAGTTAAGAGAATCAAGAAGGTGAGTCTCTGTCTAATCCAAACCCTGGAGAACTACTACCAATCTGACTAGGTGTTTTTCAGGTTAGCTAAATAGCCTGGTCTGTTCCTGCAGTTCCTTAATTTTTAGACAACAACAATACTGTAAGTTAAATACTGTAAGTNTGACTATAGGCAGGTGTTTTTCCCACGGCACACCTTACACTATGTCACGGCACACTAGTGTGCCGCGGCACAGTGGTTGAAAAACACTGACCTAACCTACCCAACTCTCACTTCCATATAATAAAGTGAGCAGAGCTGTTGTATGTAGTCATTTTCACTTCTTGTGTCATTTATTTTTCTCAATAATATATACTACCTGCAACCTTTCAACCAGCATTTGCATCTCTTAAATTTCTCCATCTGTTTTTCCATCTTATTCCACCAGGACACACATTAGATACATATCACTTTTTATCATGTATAGCAGGGGTGGGTTCCTGTACCTGTCGGTACCGCTTCGCACGCGCATATGCTACACATTGCTCACGCATGCACAGTTGACTCTAATTTGTTCTGCACATGTACAGAAACATGCCAGCAACGGCAGAAGAGACTGGGGAACCAGTTCAGGGGTGTGGCCAGCCTGAGTTACTGCCGGTTCTGTGACCCAGGCTGAATCACCACTACCAGTTCGGCCAACCCGGACTGAATTGGAAGCAACTCACCTCTGATGTATAGCCATAACCTGTAATTGTTCACCACATTTTCACTCAAACACAACGATATTGGGTTTTAACACATTAATTCCTCACTGCGTCATAAAATCTAACATTTACAGGAAATCATTTGGCTTTGCTGCATTAAAAAATACTTAGTTTTATATTCCAAATTCATCCACCTCTACTATCACTCAAGTATTCCTGGTAGATTTATCAACATATTAAAACCAAAGAACCCGCACACATTCTTAACTTCAATCCTTCCCAGAGTTCATACATGCACAGATTGTATAACTCAGTGTGAGGTTCTGGATTCCCGGTATCACCCACGGGGACGCGCATGGTGCATGTGCAAACATACATGCGTCGTACTTGCGACGCTTCCGCAGGCCTCTGCAACGCTCCAGCTGTTTGGCGGAGCATTGCGTAGGTGCCGCATATGCCATGCGCATGAATGGAAGCACGCAAAGCTTAAAGCACAGGTAAGGAGTGCAGGCGGGCGGGTGGGCCCTCTGGAGCACTGTACTGGAATGGTACCCGGTGCTCTGGGCAGGATCCTGTACGCCCGTACCGGGGCATACCACCTGCAACCCACCACTGGTATAACTCAAACATTCTCTTTTCTCTAAATCAGCAAACTTTCTCACATTCATCCATCTCTGTAACTTGCTGAAGAGTAAAAATCTGATCTACATATTCTCTGCCTAGCGTAAAAATAGACTTGTATTTTCCAAATTATTGTCACCTTTTGCATCTTTTTGATCTGAATTCTGCCAAACATTTCCCATGGTACATGAAATAAATTGTAGTTTTTGCATTGACTCTTAATAAGTTTCTTTTATGTAGGGCAGAGATTTTCAAACTATGAGTTGCGGTCCCCTGGGGATCTAAACCTAACCCATCCATAGGATGCAGGCAGCATGCGAAACCACACACCGCTCAGTCCATGGAAAAACCTCTCTCCACAGAACTGGTCCCTGGTGCCCAAAAGGTTGTGGGGCACTGCATTTTCCAACTGAAATTATTGCTATTGTTTTTCATAACATTCAATTTCCAGACACCTCACCAATTTGATGATTCTTTTACTGTACTTAAAATATGGTGGGGTTTCCTCCCTCTTTCTCCCTCTTAGTCCAGGATGCTGACAATGACATGTTGTGAGAGGGCAACTAGGAAATGCCACATGCTAAACAGCCTACAAACCCGATCATTGGTTCAGAAGAATGCAATAAAATTCAGAGTTGCTCAAGATGAATGGGGAAAGGCCACTTCTAATCTCAAACAGCCTGGCAGAGTTTTCATATTTCCTTAGGCGAAGACTCTTGAGTTTTCAGTACCTGTATTGATAGCATTTGGACGTGTATCTAAATAGTTTGGAACGGTAAGCCCAAAAAACATTGCAAAACCGAGGATAAAAAGATTGCGGGAGGAATTCATGTCCACAAACTGCAGATTGGAGAGACCCACTGCAGTGATCATACCTGCAGAAAGAAAGAATATGTTAAATAAATAAATACATTGATGGTGCAGTGGTTAGAATGCAGTATTGCAGGCTAACTCTGCTCACAGCCAGGAGTTCAATCCTGACCAGCTGAAGGTTGACTCAGCCTTCCATCCTTCCGAGGTTGGTAAAATGAGGACCCGGACTGTGGGGGCAAGTTGCTGACTCAATTT